CCCTAATTTATGGCATAAATAGACTATCAAATATAACCCAAAATGCACAAGTAGCAGAAGAGAAACTAGATGACTGGGACCTTTTAAAAATTAAAGTCGTATGTGCATCTAACTCATCCCACTGCCATTGAGTCGGATCCGACTCATAGTGACCCCTCTTTGGGTTTCTGAGACAGTATCACTATGGAAGTAGATTGCCCAACCTTCCTACTGGGAAGTGGCTGGTGGGTTTGAACTGCCAGCCTTCTGGTTAACAGTCAAATGCCTTAGGCACTACACCACCACAACTCCTTGTGCATCTAAAGACTCCTCCAAAAAAGTAAAAAGAGAACCTATTGATTGGGAAAAAATATTTAGCTATGATGTATCTGACAAGGGACTTATCTCTAAAATTTATAGAAAACTTCAACACCTCATCATCAAAAATACAAACAATCCAATTCAAAAATGAGCAAAGGACATGAACAGATACTTCACTAAACAAGATATTCATGTGGCCAACAAAAACATGAGGAAATGCTCCTCATCATTATCTATTAGAGAGACGAAAATCACAACGAGATATCATCTCACCTCAGCAATGATACCAAAGTTCAACAAGGCAGAAAATAATAAATACTGGCAAGGGTGCAAAGAGATTGGATCTCTCATACACTGCCAGTGGAACTGTACAATGGTACAGCCACAGTGGAAAATGGTATGGTATTTCCTTTAAAAATTGGAAATAGAAATACCATTTGATCCAGTAATTCCATTACTAGTAAGATATTCTAAAGAGGTAAGATTCAGGACATAAACAGACATATGCACACCCATGTTCATCGCAGCACAATTCCCTATAGCAAAGAGATGGAAATAACTTAAGTGTCCATCAACAGATGAATGGACAACCAAACTATGATACATTCACACAATGGAATCCTATGCAACATTAAGGAATAATTAAGAGTTCATGAATCACCTTATAATGTGGATGGATTTGGAGAACATTATGCTGAGTGAAATAAGTCAATTTCTGAAGGACAAATCTAGTATGAGTCTATCCTTATAAAAAGGGCTGGTTTTTAACTACAGGCTGTATGTAAGTCATATATCTGTAACCCTGGGACTGCCTGAATATATGAACAGAAGCTTGGGGAATATTTATGAGAATGGATATTAATGGATATTAATGGTGCAAGGAACATTATAAAAAGGCAAGGAAAGGTTTATTCAGGGAAATAAATTTGCTTTCTTTGTTACAGGAATAGGAGGGAAGGGGGAGAAAAATTTCTGACTATTTAAGAGTTATGTGTTGATTTGGGTAAAAGAAAGACAATATAACAAAATGTGTGACCAGCACAAAGGCAATAGGGAAAAGGAGAATGTAGAAACATGCACAAAAGATGAAAAGAACAGAAGCAATAGGGAAAAGGAGAACATAGAAACATGCACAAAAGATGAAAAGAACAGAAGCAAATACTATTATATGCACAATACTGCATTACCAGTGGCAGCTAATGCTAGGCTATGAGTAAATGTATAGACAGGTGAGAAGATCAGGTTTGGGCAGATGAACAGCCATGTAAATATATGGGCACATAACTATGGATAGATCTGGCTGAAGATACTCTTACATGTGTATTTGTGCCACAAAAATATCCATATACATTAAAGAACTAATGAGGTGGGGTTGGAGTAGCTTCTCAGTGACAACCAAGCACCTTGAGGGAGATAGTCACTAGGCCTGTGGGCTCAGGATCATGGTCTCAGGGGATATCAAGCTCAACAGGCACAGCATAGTACATTAAAATCTTGTTGTACATCCTACTTTGATGAGTAGCAATTGGGGTCTTGAAAGCTTTCAAGTACTCATCTAAGATGCAGTTGTTGGTCTCTCCTCATCTAGAGCAAAGAATGAAGAAAATCAAAGTCATATGGAAACAAAGTCCAAGAATATGATGGACCACAGGGACCTCAGCTTTCATGACCCTGAGACTGGAAAAACTAGGTGGTGCCCAGCTACCAATGCCAACTACTTGGAAAGGGTTCAAAATTGGAGATCCTGGATAGAGTGGGAGGAAAAATGTGGAACAAAATTCAAAAACACAGAAATGACCAGAATTACTAGTAAGATAGAGACTGGTGGAACCCCTGAGACCATGGCCCTAGGTAATTCTTCAGGCCTAGAACTGGACTCACTTCCATGAATGGACTAGCTCTCAGACAAACAGTAGAAAAGCCTACAAGCAGAACACCTATCCCAGGGAGTTGCACCCACCTACCCTAAGGAGATGCGCCCCTTGGATCAATCAACTGTGAGACATCAGAAGGGCAACATATGCATAGAGGGAAAGCTGGACAGATAGGAAAGCATAGATAAGAAGGAAACAAGAAAGAGGAAGTAGTCCCCGGGAAGAGAGCTTTTTGTTGGGATTATAATTGGGACCATGAAACAAAATGTACATGAACTGTTGAGAGTAAAATGAATCTACTTTGTAAATTTGCACCCAAATCACAATAAAAAGTATAATAATAATAATATAGTAATCATAGTAATAATGTTTTGATGCTTGCCACAAAGTGTTGTCCATTTGTTATTATGAGCCATTATGTACCTTGAATTTTTAATATAATGGGCTTTAGAGGGCTGGTTTGTAACTACAGCCTGTATGTAAGTCATATATCTGTAACCCTGGGACTGCCTGAATATATGAACAGAAGCCTGGGGAATATTTATGAAAATGGATATTAATGGATATTAATGGTGCAAGGAACATGATTTTGTATCAGTTTGAGTGATTCTTCATTGTTTCAACTTGAGAAATTAGAAAAGGATCTAATAGTTTATTTGGTTGGTTTACTTAAGCATGAATTAAGCAGTGGCCTACACTAAAGTTGAAATCCCAGAATTGCTTGGTATTCTATAGAAGAAGATCTTAGTTAAATTGGCATGTTAGAGTGGATTTATCAAGTTGTACCCACAGACTTACCCAGGGAGTGCCAAGAGAATACATCTTTCACCATAACAGTTAGGAGCAAATTTATGACGGGAACCTCAGCATCCTTGAAGACTGCTATGATTGCTATTTTATGTAAGTCATATTTGACATTGGGAACTGCCCTAACTGAATTAAGACATCAACTACAATGGGGCTGATTGGACCTTGGTGGGTAGGGGTCAAGTGATGGCACTTAATCACGAAAGACAAGGTGAGTGTGGTTACCATAACGAACAGTAGAGTCAAAGCAGTAATAATAATAGTCCAACTCATATGGACTTGTGCTGTTGGCTACTTAGTCTTGATATCTGTAGGAATGACATAGGTAGGAAATTTGCTGAATATTTCCTTAATCTGAGAAATTTAAGAATTTTAGGTCAAGTGAACAGCAGTCTAACTTGAAACACCAAAATAGACAGTTGTGGCCACTCCGTCAATTCCCAGACTTGAGCTAGTTTACAGACCTAAAACCCCTTGAATGAAGGGAGGGCTGGATCTCATTAAGGAAAGAACTCACTACATTGCCAAAAATTTAAACTGTTAAACTTCCTCCCAGCCTTCCCTAGAGGGATCTATAACTTTTTATGAGTGTGACTGTTCATTGGGGAAAAGGAAATAATCAGATTTGGGGAGGCATTACTGGACACTAGCTCTGAATTGACACTAATTCTAGGAAACCCAAATGTCACTGTGGCCAACTAGTGAGAATAGGGGCATAAGGAGGTCAGGTTCTTAATGAAGTCTTGGCTCAACTTCATCTCACAGCAGCTCCCCAAACCCATCCTTCAGTGATTTCCTCAGTTTTGGAATGCATATAATTGGAATAGATATTCTCAACAACTGGCACATTAGATCCCTGACATGCAGAGTAAGGGCTAAAGCAAAGTGGAAGCATTAGAACTATCTCTACCAAGGAAAATAGTAATCCAAAAGAAATATCATATTCTAGAGGGATTGCAGAGATTAATGCCCTATCAGGGACTTCAAGGATGCAAGGGGTGATTCCCACCACGTCCCCATTCAACTTGTGTGTTTAGCCTCTGCAAAAAAAAAAAAAAAAAAAGATGCTATTGGAGAATGATAGTAGATTATTATAAATTTAACCTGGTGGTGACTCCAGTTGCAGCTGCTGTTCCAAATGTGCTTTTGTTGCTTAAGCAAATTAATACATCTCCTGGTACCTGGTATGCAGCTACTGATCTGGCCATTGCCTTTTTCTTGATCCAATTTCAAAAGATCACCAGAAGCAGTTTGCCTTTAGCTAGCAAAACCAGTAATATACCTTCATTGTCTTAGTTCAGAGGTATATCTACTTTCTAGCCCTATGTCATAATTTAGTCCTGAGAGACACTGAGGCCCAACTTTCCATTCCACAAGATGTTACACTGGTTCATTACATTTATGATATTTTGCTTCTTGGATATAGTGAAGAAGAAGTATCAATCACTGTAGTCTTACTGGTAAATTATATGCATGCCAGGGGATAGGAAGTTAATCTGACAAAAATTCAATCTTCCACCTCAGTGAAATTTCTAGGGGTTCAGTGGTGTAAGATGTGTCAAGATATTCCTTCTAAAGTGAATAATAAGTTGTTACATCTGGCCCCCCCCCACAACTAAAAAGGAAGCACATGTCTGGTGAGTGTCTTTGGATTTTGGAGGCAACATATCCCTCATTTGGGTGTGTTGCTGCGGCCTATTTATCAAGTGACTTGAAAAGCTGCTAGTTTTGAATGGGAACCAGAACAAGAAAAGGCTCTGAAACAGGTTCAGACTGTCATGCAAGCCAGTCTGACACTTGGGCCATATGATCTAGATGATCCAATGGTTCTTGAAGTGTCAGTGGAAGATAGAGGTGCTATTTAAAATCATTGGCAGGAAAGATCCTATTGATAAATCACATTGCAGCCCTTAGAATTTTGAAGCAAAGCTCTGACATCCTCTCCAGAAAACTATTTTCCTTTTGATAAATAGTTTTCAGCTTTTTACTTGGCCTTAGTAGAGGTTGAATGCTTAAACCATGGACCATCAAGTCATCATGCAGCATGAGCAGCCGATCATGAACTGGGAGTTTTCTGACCCAGAGAGCCATAAAATCAGACATGCAGAGCAGTACTCCATCATTAAGAGGTATGTACGAGATTACCACCTCTCGTCTTTCAGTTTGTTGTGTTATATGATTGCTTGCATGTTGCTGTGAGGCTGGAGTCTATAGCACCAGTATTTTGAATACTAGCAGGATCACCATGGTGGACAGATTTCAGGGGAGCTTCCAGATGAAGACAAACTGAGATGGGGCCCTCCACCTCTGATAGAATTGGCCACTGAAAACCTTATGAATAGCAGTAAAACACTGTCTGATATATGACTGGAAAACTTTATGAAGAGCCCAGAAACATCGTCCAATATAGTGCTGGAAGATGATCCCCTCAGTTTGGAAGGAACTCTAAATATGACTGGGGTAGAGCTGTCTCCCCAAAGTAGAGTTGACCTTAATGGCATGGATGGAGTAAAGCTTTCAGGACCTTCTTTTGCTGATGGGGCACAACTCAAAATGGGAAGAAACAGTTGCAAATGATAATTGGATAATTGGAACATGGAATGTATGAAGTTTAAACCTTGTTATTGTTGTTATGTGCTGTCAAGTCAGACCCGATTCATAGCGACCCCTCCTTGGGTTTTCGAGGCAGTATCACTACGGAAGTAGATTGCCCCATCTTCCTTCCAAGGAGTGGCTGGTGGGTTTGAACCGCCAGCCTTCTGATTAGCAGTCAAGTGCCTTAGCCACTATGCTACCAGAGCTTCTTTTGCTGATGGGGCACAACTCAAAATGGGAGAAACAGTTGCAAATGATAATTGGAACATGGAATGTATGAAGTTTGAGCCTAGGATAATTGAAAGTTGTCAACAATGAAATGGAGCACATGAAGATCAATACTCTAGGCATTAGTGAGTTGAAATGGTCAGGTATTGGCCATTTTGAATGAAACAATCATATGGTATACTATGTATGCTAGAAATGACAAACTGAAGAGGAATGGCATCACATTCATCATCAAGAAGAACATTTCAAGATCTATCCAGAAGTACAATGCTGTCAGTGACAGGATAATATCCATATGTCTACAAGAAAGACCAGTTAATACAACTATTATTAAAATTTACACATTAACCACCAAAGCCAAAGATGGAGAAATGGAAGATTTTTACCAACTTCTGCAGACTGAAATTGACCAAACATATAATCAAGATGTATTGATAATTACTGGTGATTGGAATGTGAAAGTTGGAAACAAAGAATCATTGATGGTTGGAAAATACAGCCTTGGTGATGAAAATGATGCTGGAAATCACATGATAGAATTTTGCAAGACTGATGACTTATTCATTGCAGATACATTTTTTCAACAACGTAAGTGACCTCACTAGATGGAATACACAGAAATCATATGACTGCATCTGTGCGAAGAAGCCAAGGAGAATCTCAATATCATCAGTCAAAACAAGGCCAGGAGCTGACTGACTGTGGAACACACCATAAATTGCTCATAAGCAAGTTCAAGTTGAAGCTGAAGAAAATTAAATCAAGATGATGAGAGCAGAAATATGACCTTGAGTATATCCCACCTGAGTTTATCCCACCTTGAGTGTATCCCACCTGAATTTACAGACAATCTGAAGAATAAATGTGATGATTGAACACCAGTGACCAAAGACCAGACAAGTTGTGGGATGAAATCAAAAACATCATACATGAAGAAAGAAGAAGCTCATTAGAAAACACAGGAAAGGAAGAAAAGACCAAAATGGATGTCAGAAGAGACTCTGAAACTTGCTCTCAAATGGAGAGTAGCTAAAGCGAAAGGAAGAAATGTTGAAATAAAAGAGCTGAATAGAAGATTTCAAAGGGCAGCTCGAGAAGACAAAGTAAAGTATTATAATGAAATGTGCAAAAACTTGGAGGTAGGAAAAAAAAGAGGTGGGGGAAAGAACATGTTCAGCATTTCTGAAGCTGAAAGAACTAAAGAAAAAAATTCAAGCCTTGAATTACTATATTGAAAGAGTCTATGTGCAAAAATATACCCATATCAAAAAGAACCATCAAAAGAAGATGGAATGAATACACTGAGTCACTGTACAAAAAAGAATTTGTTGACATTCAGTCATTTTAGAAGGTAGCATATGATCAAGAACCCATGGTATTGAAGGAAGAAGTAAAAGCTGCACTGAAGGAATTAGCAAAAAAAAAAAAAAGGCTCCAGGAATTAACGAAATACCCATCGAGATGTTTCAACAAATGGATGCAGCACTGGAGGCACTTATTCATTTATGCCAGGAAATTTGGAAGACAGCTACTTGGCCAGCCTACTGGAAGAGATCCATATTTATGCCCATACCAAAGAAAGGTAAAGAAGAATATGTCTGGAATATAGGGAATTCTGTAGAATGTCTTTTAGTACTACCATGCCTTATGATTAAAGTCAATGAAAAACTACAGCAACCCAATTCTGACATGACTACAAATGGCCCAGACCTTCAGGAACTAAGGTTTGGGTCACTGTACCAGGCAAAGAACTATGAACAGCTGAGGTACTTGCTGAAGGCAAAGGGAATACAGAATGGGTGGCAGGAGAAGGTAGTTCTAAATAACAGCTACAATCATCTGACTAGTTGCAGGAATGAGGACTGTGATTGTTAGGATTTGTTTTACATGTGTATGCATATATATAATATATTTGTTTTCTTCCCTCCCTTATCCCATTGTTGTTGTTGATATGTGCTATCAAGTCAGACCTGACTCACAGCAACCCCCTCTTGGATTTCTGAAGCAGTATCACTACGGAAGTAGATTGCCCAACTTTCCTACCAAGGTGTGGCTGGTGGGTATGAACCACCAGCCTTCTGGTTAGCAGTCAAGTGCCTTAGGCACTACGCTACCAGAGTTCCACTTATCTCATTACATATTATAAAATATAAGATGTAAACAGGGTTAGCATGTTTTCACTTGTATGTGTTAGTTATATTGTGTTAGGCACAAGTGTGACTTTATAATTGTCTTTATTTAGAAATTGTGTATTAGTTAAGGAGATTTTTACAGGTGCCAAGTTGACAAGAGGTGGAGTGTGATGGTTAAGTTATGTGTAAATTTGGCAAAGCCATGATTCTCAGTGGTTTGGCAGATATTATGTAATCATCTTCTATTTTGTGATCTGATGTGAGTAGCAATCATTTGAAAGGGGGTTTCCTTGGAGGTATGGCATCCATGCTATCTTATCTATCTATCTATCTATCTGTCTATCTAGTTATATATATATATAGGAGCTCTGGTAGCATAGTGCCTAAAGCACTTGACTGCTAACCAGAGGCTGGAAGTTCAAACCCACCAGCCACTCCT